TCGACAAGTTCTCATTTGTCAGGCGGCTTCTGTATTTATTCTTAATGAACATCATCGCGGAAAAAACTGATTCGCACACATATGTGGTTCCAAATCTCACCAATACCTTCTGAGCCATTGATTTCAGTTCTGGATATTGTTCTTCGCTGAGACTTAGCCAAAATTTTGATAGATCTCAATTATATCTAAAGCTTTACCTGTTTACCATATTATTCTAGCAATCTAGTGCTTGAGTGCTTCATAATAATCGTGAAAAAACATTATAATCGCAAATTTCGCAAGGAAATATTCATATGTAAATATGTGCATCTTATCACTTGATCTCTCGTCTTGTAAAGTTTACTAGTGTAAGTTCGCGACCCTAGACAAGCATTGCGACCCATGCGACCCAAGAGAAGCCTTGCGACCTTCGAGGGTGTGCTAGCGACCCAATTTTGGGTCGCGACCCATGGTTTGAAGACCCCTGCTTTACAGAGATAGTAACCCTGCTCTCATCAGTTTTTTTGTTCACTGGCGCTTTCTTAGGCGTGGACATAAATATCGGGCACAAATCAATATTGCTCGTTAAGGCTTGTGACGCTTGTCCTGGTTGAACGGTGGCGGTGGGAATAAAAGGCTGTGTGACAATCAAAGTAACGTCTTTCTGTTCAATGCCACTTGCACTGTCCGAGTCCAGTAAGGGGTCATCTTGTTCATCAAATTTTAGAGACTTTCTTGTTATCTCTGTGACTTCGAAACTAGTGTCATGCAATCTTCGCTTTGGCTCGTTATTCTGTGTCAGTTCCCTTCCATTAAATAAATTTCGAAAGTACTTATTCAACTCACTTACGGACTTGTTAGCTTCGTCCAGACGCTTTAATTTATTTACACAGTTACGACACAAGAATGAAGTCGGCCCAAATGTCTAAGTCGATTTTCGCAGTTTCGCGAAGGATACCCACGAAATCGTGAGTTTTGCTTTTACCAAACAGTCTCGTACGTTTATTTTTATCTATTTCTTCACCCTTGCATGTGAAGCAACTATTTACAATACTTTTTTCCTTTGTTTCAGTGTTCATATTATATGTACATCACGCAGTTGTAATTTGTAATACAAAAATAGTGTAAATTGCTACAATAGGAAATTGACAGTTTCCTGGGTTTTCCCGTATGACATTTGACATGTTGTGGGCGGGATAATTACATTGTTTACATAAAATTCTATTGGCTGTTCTAAACAATGGGAAGTCAAATGCATAGCGAATGTGAGCAGACGTTAGGTGAGGCCTCGGGCCACTAACAACGTCTGCGCAGGAGGTTAATTAGAGCTCTGCATGTATCTAAATACCCACTAAAATATATTGTGAGTGTTTAGATACATGCAGAGCTCTAAGATTGTAAACAGTGCTATACAGTACCAGCATGTAAGGCATAAATTTACTGTAGATTATTGCTGAAGGCAGAAATGCATCCTGGTTTGTTGTGTTACCATACAGCACAACAACTCACATTGACATCAATTAATTGTGTTAAACTAATGGTATTTTGCATGTTTGGTGATTAAATTAGTTGCAAATGTACATATAAATTTGGTAATCAATCCATTTCATCTTAAATATTTGAGCAACAAAAGTGAAATTAGTGTAAACATCATAGTCAAAATAATTGGTCAAAATTCTTGTAAAAAATTTTTTTACTGATGTCGAATGGCCCAAGTTCACTTAATATAACTACCAAAATACAGCAATGCCAACAAAGTAAAAGGACGTCCAAAAGCCATCATCTAAGCTTGCCAAATTAAATATTTTAAACTTACAGCTGAACTGTTGGTCGGCTAAGTTGGCTAAGACCCTGATTTCGGCATCAAATGGATTGATAAGGGGAACTCATCAGTGGGTGCACCAATACATAATAGCTGAAATAACTAGATCATAATTTTGATTTCAATTTGTGAAATACAGTCTTTTCTGAGAGGGATTTTGTACTTTCATATGTATTTCCATTCTTATAGACAAGCCATTTCCTTCTTTTCATTGCAGGCAGTAGCAATTAAGAATTTATAATCTTTTGTGTATACTACAAATTCACCCATAAGCAAAACCATGTACAAACAAGGAGGTTTATCGGGTGGAAACAATAACTGTAAATATGTATAAAAATTTATATGATTTATAGAAAGTTAATTACATATATGTACTGTATATATTATTATAGTGCATTAAATAATTAGATAATGTATACTGTTGTCAGATTCACATTTATCTTCAAATATACTTGTATTTTTTCCCGGCTGCGATACAAGAAAAAAATATGATTATACATACTCTTTTAATGTCTTTCCGCACATGTTTTATTCCACAGATATCAAATGAAATTATGAAAACCTTCACATTCATTTGTTAATTGTGTAAGCTTTGATAATTTTACTTATTCCTTATTCTTTTACTTAATTTTACTTGTTTAAGATCGATTTAAGTCGTTTTCACGATTTTTCAGAACTGCACAAAACACCACGCGCTCATTGTTTCCGCCATCTTTGTTTTCACCGTCGTTGTCAATTATTTACCGACCAAAAATAAATTGGTTAAATATTTATTTGCCAACCAATTATTAATTGATTGAAAATAATCTTAATCATAGGAAATTGGTTGTATTAACCAAAATAACAAGAGTTAAAGCAACCAAATATTTTGACCAAAAAAAAATGTTAAAATAACCAATTGGAAATGATAGCCAAAAGAGAAATTGGTTATTTTAACATTCAATTTTTACAGTGTGGAAAGTAAGAATTTGACGGGTTCAATTCGGGACGAATTTAACCGCGATATATGCGACAGAATTAAAGTAACCTGAGTATCAGGCCCTCGGTATTGAAAGAGGGCCTGACACAATTCGCCTCTACAGCCATGTTCAACATCCAGAATCTGGATGTTATGCTGATTGGCTAAGAGACGATAAAACGCATCATGTGATTCAAACCGGAAATATATGACCAGCGTATGTAGACACCAAAAATAGAATTTGTATAAATTTTGCCAATACACTGTTAAAAGTGCTTTATTTGTGAAATTTATTTTCAATTAATTAAGCCTAAAAATGACAAAATAAGTACGAGAAGACGTTGAAGTAGAAATCGTGTCTAAATATCTTGCCGTGTAAATAGTCGCCGTAGAACGAAAATATGTGGATGTCGGAAATTTTCAGATATTTAGTTCCGTATATTTAAAAGTTATTAAAAGCCTTATTTATCCGATTGCCGAGCTGTTTTCCAAGACCTGCAAGGATATAGTTGCCAGCTCTCTCGAACTAATATGCGAACATCAGGCAGAAATTGAAGACAATAGCCGCTGTGTCAGACGCATTTGAAGCGAATTTGAAGTGAGACTGTTGTCTCGAATAAACTATTAACATGACACGAGGACCGAGGAAGAAGAAATCCTATTCAGAGTGCCGAATGTTGTCTCCTTAGGCTCCTGGAAAAAGCCACCGAGCTATGGTTCCCCGAATGAAGCATAGTTTACGTTTAGAATTCGATCATGTGGATATTTCGACAAAAACATACCGAATTTTCTCCGTATTTATTCAAATTTATACAAAACTGTAAATAACGAAAATTGCGTATTTACATAGCGGACAACCGGAAATATGCTACAACCGGAAATCATTTTAAGTGGCAGATATTCTGGGGGCGGAAAGGCTGTAGAGGCGAATTGTGTCAGGCTCTCTTCAATACCGAGAGCCTGATACTCGGGTTAGAATTAAAGTGCATACCATGTTTCCTAAGAAGCATGAAAGGGAATACGTAGCGTTCAAGATAATATCGACTTCCCCTTTTCTTGCTGACAAGATTGGTTGTGGAACGGTGGGTTCAGCTACTTGTAAATGCATGTAGGCTACCATGTTAATTTTTATTTGAGGCAGCTTTTCAAGCAACCCAATCCGCACGTTGTAACCCAGTAAATATTTGTCTTCAACAACTGTTTAAGGTTAGGGGTAATAAGGTTAGCGTATAACGTAAGTAAGTTACTGTAATTGTTAGACGTTGTTAGTAATTTTTCTGGCATACAGCGTGCGGATCAGCGTGCAGAAAGATCTCGTGATCATGTCTTTCATTTGAGTATAATTTTTTTTGTGATTATTAAGACAGCATCGTTGTCCTACTGAGTTACATTAAATGAAAACAAAGCAATTGTACTCCCTGTAAAATATCTTGCAAATGTTCTTTCGTCAATATTTCAGGTTTCCTTACTACTGCACGTTCGTTTCTTCAAAGTGAGAAAAACTATTTAGAAAGGGATTACGTACAGTAACAATGCTTACCGATCGTTCGTATTGTTTAGGCATCTTGGGAGCAATCGATAAAGAACAGATTTAAAAACAGTAGGCGTCTTCAGCGCAAGAGGTCCTTACCCCTACCAGCACTATACTCGAGCTCCAGCTCAATCAGGGCACGACCACCTACTACGAGTAAAAAAAGCAAAGAACCTGTGCTTAGTGAAGCATTAGGTGCAGAGACAGAGGAAACTTGCCGAGAACACCTTAACTACATAAAAAAAGAGATGGACAAATCTAGAAATAGAAATATGACGCTCATAAGGGAGTTGATGGACGCAACCTACATCTTCCGTAGGCAAAACATCCTAACAAGTCCAACATCTTTAAAACTGTTGTTGGCACAGTATCCAGCTTTGAGGATGGTCTCCGAGGTATGTACAGTTTTAAGACTATTTCATGTATAGATGGTCTAATTAATACTTCAGTCAATTGACACCGCGCAACTCCCCCAGCCCCTATTCAAGAAAACGTTAAAAACCAATCAACCTTATCAATTTCCTCATCCCTGCATAGGATTAGGGAAAGTCATCCAGGCTTTCTGGCATCCTTGTGTAGAGAAAAGTATAGGACAAAAATAGGACTAGAATTTTAGGAAAATGTTGGAAATGCAAATAACACAAAAATATACAAAATTGGCCCCCTAGGATATATTTGGTAAGGGGTAGCCCTATAGATATCTGATGGGGAAGTTGTATGAATTTTTGGTGCTCAATATTTTTATGTACTCATTCATCTATGCAGGATTTTTTTCTCAAAACTCTTAAATTGTATTGGTATAAAAGCTAAGGCATCTGCATCTGGGCTGTAGGAAGCTCTTTCTGATTTGGGCGGGGG